GGGGGGTGAGGGTTGTCTTTTTTTTTTTTTAGGTGCCCAGCTGTCATTATTCTAAAGAGCTACTTTGTACACCATTCAAAAATCAAAAGATCTGATTTCCACCACCCCAGCTTTCCTGCCCCCCCCTCCAGCCCCCAGGAAATACTATGTTAGGCACCCCAAAAATACAGTATCCTACATTATTAGTTAGTTTTCAAAATTTTACCAGTAGCTGGTGACACACAACCATTACATCATTATTTTAAAAAGAATGAATGCTATAAATGGAATGGTTACACACAATTATTGTAGCTATCTAGGCTGGGGTGAGTGGGGTATCAGCTCTGGGTGCCAACTCTGAGTGGGCACCAGAATTGCTCCTCTGGAAATCTTTGCCATAGGAGCCAAGCAGCATAGTGCCCCACCGAACAGCTTGTCGGGCAAGTGACTGGTGCTCCTCTGCCCCCTTATTGGGGAGCCTTTGCCAGAACAGAGACAGCCTTGCTCCCAATATGCATGTATTGAGGTGGGAGGGGGATTTGGCAGCAGTAGCCTGAAAAGTTAAGCCTTCCCTGCCCCTCACCTGTCTTCTTCGTCCACTCCCCGCCCCTCTCCACAGTCTGCAGAGGTTAGCATACTCCTCCCTCCTCCTGCCCCCACACTGACCACCCCCCACAGGGGATCAATGAGCTCTCTATACCTTTGTGGGGGCTAACAGAGTCAGTTAGCATCTGTCTTTTATTCCATGACTGGATTTCTATTTTGTTTGCATGATATTCAGTCTGGAACCGAGCTGGTTCAAATGTTAATTAAATAATTTGTGGAACACTGGTTGACATACCAGACTTCCCATTTGTTATAACCCAGTTCTCGCAGCCCTGACCTGTTCTGACTTTGCGTTTGGGTCCTGACTCCTGTTCTGGTGCCAGGCTCCTCCATACCCCCCAGCTCCCTGGAACTGGTCTAGACTGCACTCCTTGCTTCATATGTCTAACCACTAGGCAAGACCACCTGGTTTTCTGACAAAAAACAGTTGCTGGAAACTTCCGTGTGCATCATGTGTGAGAAATATTGTAAGAACAGTTTCTGTTCGTTATGGGCAAATGTGAAAGGAAAATCTGCAGGACTCATCAGGAGTTGCATAATGAGCAGGATAATGAATAATGAGCGCTGCTACTCAGTCACTTACTACAAGGGAAGACTTTTTTCCCTTGGTTCTGCCTTGCAAAAACAAAGTGCCCATTATATCCCAGGGTATGTTGTATGTGAGAAAATACTGTGTTTTCCCAGGAGAACATTGCTGGGATAGACATTGGCGCCTTCTGCTGGTTGGATTGTAAACAGGAGGGTAGCACACCATGAACCAGCAGGTTCACTTCACAACCTGCAGCTCAGAGCACACTGGCAGCTTGGCAAGCAATGAAGCATGTGAATAACAGCGGGGCTTTGGTCAGAAAGATGAAAGCAGAGATCTCCTAGCAGAGGCTTAACTGGCCAATTCTGTTCCATTGCTGTTGGCAGAACATGGTGCAGAAGCAGCAGCCAGGGGTTCACTGCCATGGGGGGATGTCACCTTCTCTTTTGCTTCCAACTTGTGTTGAGCAGCCACTTAAACACCAGCTTTTGGCAGTAAGAAAGGAGGGGACATCTCCTCCCATGGCAGTGACACTCCAGCCACTGCTCCTGGATCATGCACTGCTGCTGCTTCTGCTCTGCCCTCTCTGCTGCCAGAGCCAGAGCTGCAGCAGGGAAGGTGAAAGGTGTGGAAGGGAAGGGGATGGGGAAAAGAGGTCCCCTGCTTAGGCAGTGTCCAGGGCTCATGTCCTGCTCGCCCACCCATCGTTATGCTGGTGCCTCATAGTGGGAGGACACTGGAGCAGATTGTGCCTGACGAATGGCTGACTCGACGGACCACCCTTCCAGTGACATAGACAACTGTCATCCCTTTGCCTTCCATTGCCCCAGCAGAGCATCTGGCCCTGTGAATAAAGCTCCGATGATTGAGACTCCTCCAGCAGTTTCCAGGTCCCCAAAGCCACATTCTCAAATGAAGAGTTGGGACCCCAGCTGGGGCCATGGGACTAGCAGAAATGGGGGCACAACCAGCGGCAATCAGGATTCTGCTGCCCAAGATCACCTCTGGTGCTTGCAATAGGATTTCTGGGCAGCTCAGATAGCAAAGGGTGATTGTTTTGCCAAGGGCATTGCACTGCTCAGCTGTGATGGGCTTAGTGTTCCCACCCAGCCCTATTTCTGTCCTTCAGTTGGCTCAATGACCCCTAGATGTGAATTTTATATACAGCAATGGCCAATTCTTAATATCTGCTTCTGGGGTGGAGGAGGGGCAGGGCCTGTGCCAGTGAAATATGAATATTTGTGGCACATGAATACATGGAGATATGAGCACAGTGGGTGCTGAGCAGGCCCAGACTGAGGGCATCCAGCCCAGTGCCCTGTGTCAGACAGCACCCAGCACTTGCTGTTTCAAAGAAAGGTGCAACTGTTACCCCCCTTGTGGACTCTGGTGGAATAACCCACCCATGGTGAAGGTCTTTTATGCAGGATTTACCCAGCTCCAGGTGGGACCCAAGGCCTCTGCCTGTGCTGCAAAAAGGGGCCCTTGGATCCAAAGCCAATGACAGTTGTTGCCTCTGCTCTGGGAGCCTCTCTCTGTCCAAATTTCAAGTGCATTTGTGATGACACAAAGCATCAAAGCTCCATCCAAACTGAGGGTCCTGGGAGCCGTTATCATCCACAGCCAGGCTGTGAGCTCTCAAGGGGGCTGGGTTCAGGGGAAGAAAAAGATTAGCTTGGAGCCAAGCCCACCTCTGCCCTCCAGTCTGCCAGCCCTGGTGCTCTCAGAGTGATGCAAGCACATGCCGCTGTGGAGAGAGCAGGACAGCCAGAGGGAGCAGCCCAGATCTCAGATCTGGCCCAGGGGCTGGCCTATGCTCTAGGAGAGGCGGCTGCATGGTGGGGTCTAGGTCTTGGAAAGGGGTAATGCTCCCAGGGAGAAGTAGTGCCAGCACAGCAAGTGGCTTCAGGTTCAAATCCCAATGACCCCTTGGTACTAGGAGCATTTGGCAAGTTCAGGCTCATACTAAGGTGCAGGGTCTGTGGATGCTGCAATTGCTGCAGCTGTGCAGGCACAACCCAGCTGGTTTGAACACAGCTAGAGGGTTAGTCAGAGCAAGCTTATACACAGGGGGTTCTCACTCAGCCACTTGGTGGCTTTTCAGTCTGTGGTGCTGTGGATATGCTGCTAGCAATAGCAGCCCCTGCACCCCTTGTCTTCTTCTTATCTCAATGCTGTCTATACACCCTGCGGTCTACACACCCTTTTGTAGACAGGCCCCACGAATCAGATTAACTGAGGTGCTTAACCTTCTGGCTCTGCAGGTCAGATGAGTGGGACAGGGCTGGATCCCACACCCGGGGTTAATCCAGGGACTGGATCTTCAGAGGAACAGGAAGTCCTATGGAGCCCATCAGCAACAGTGATGCCTCTCTCCCCTTCCACTTCCCCCACCCTGAGCTCCAGGATGACAAGAGCTGTGTAAAACCCTGCCAGTAACATCTTATAAAATGTTCCATCTCTGCCGTGGCTCAGCCAGGCCAGGGGGCTCTGGTGCATTTTAATTCCTTTGTTCCATATAACAAAGTTGCTCATAGCTGTCATTGCGGTAAATCATCCCTCTGTGGTGAGGACAATCATTCACTGCTGTCTCAAGCCAGTGGCCTCTGCATCCTCTGGCCCTGGTTCTTTGGGAATTGGGAGATCTTGTCTCTGCGTGGGAGTGTCACCCCATGGGCAGCCAGGCTGGGCCTGCAGGGCTGTTACAGCTGGCAGCCACTGCCGTCACCACCTGCCCTTCAGCAGTGTGTCACCAGGAGGGGGTGCAAATGGGGTTACCTGACAGCCCCTGCTGGAGGGAGCAGTGCATTATGGGATGGCAGGGAGGGAATCTGGCAGAGCAGTACTGGTGGCAGCTTAGTTGGGGCCACGCTGATAGGGTGCTGGTGTCTCTCCAGGGGGTGAGAGCCTTATAGCAAGGGTGCACAGAGCAGACACATGCCAGCAAACACGGAGATCTGCAAGTGCAGCCTGTGGGCACAGGCCAGCCCCAGGTATCCTGAGCAGTGATTCACCTCTGAGCCAGTCTCGTGGAAAACTGGAGTCTCTCCATGGGGCTGATGGAGCTCCCCTGGGCCCCAGAAGGGAATCAGGGCAAAATCCTGTACCCTTAAAGCAACACAGACCATCTCACAGGGGTAACAGCAGCCCCTGACTCACGTCCATCTTGTTTGGGCTGCTCTTGTGGCTGGGGCTGGTGGGGAAGGCTGATCTGGGCAGAGCGCTGCCTGGCACAGTTCAGGGCTGGCTCAGGTCCAGGGGACACTAAGGAGAAAAGGCTTAAACTCATCACATGCCTCTTTGGCATTCATGTACAGAACAGACCCAGACAGGAAGGACTGGAAGACCAGGCCAGATTCATCCACAATGCGACAGATCACAACTCCCCGAATGCCCTGTTGGAAGTAATTGTCCCATTAACCGATGCTGCAGGGGGATGCGGCACTTAGACTCTGGCCTCCCAAGCCACATCCTAGATCAATGGTGCTCAACCCCTGGTCCACTAGCCAGATCTGGCCCATGGAGCTGCGTCATGGAAATCTGATGGCAAGGGAATGATGGCAGCATTACTTGCCACACCCCTGCTGCCAAATTTTTGGACCCATGGGGAGCCCCACAGATGATGTGGCCCTGCACGCTAAATCACCATCCATGGTACAGCCAGCACATGGAGTGACTCCGTGGCCAGATCCAGCATGCAGGGTCGGGTGGGATCATACCGGCAAACTGACCCCGCATGCAGGATAGGGCCCACAACCTGGCTCTGTGCCACTCATGCAGTGCACCGGGCTGGAAGGGTAAGCATCACTGCTCTAGAGAGGTGCCGGGAGGGGCTCCCTTCCTGAGCCCTGTACAAGCAGCCAGCACCCTAATGCATGAGTGCTGCTTAGCCCCTTTCTCATCCCCACTCCCCAGACTACGCAGACCTGCCTCCTTTCCGTAGTACCTGGTGATACTATTCTAGCACAGGGGTCTGGTAGATTCCTTCAACTTGGGCAGTGACATGGTCTGGGCACTGAGAACTGCACCACACCACAGTGGACAGCTTGGAAACAGTCAAGTGCAAAGCAGCAAAAATGATTAGAGGCCTGGGAGGCAAAACGTATGAGGAAAGACTGAAAGAACTAGTGTTACTTTGTCCGGAGAAGAGAAGACTGGAGGAATTTGATAACAGTTTTTAAATACCTGAAGGGCAAGTAGAGAAAGCCTGGAGATGGGCTTTTCTCTATGGCTGTAGGGACAGAACTAGGAGCAATGACTAGACATGTGGTGGAACTACCACCCTTGGAAGTTTTCAAGAGCAGGTTAAACAGACATTTGACTGGGATGGTTTAGTCAGGGGTGATCCTGCCTTCAGCAGGGAGCTGGACCAGGGGACCTCATGAGTCCCCTTCCAGCCCTATAATCCTATTATTTCCAAGTTACCAGGCAGCAAAGGGGAAGCTGGTGCTACCTCCCTTGGGCAGATCCATGCCATGCTCTCAGCATGATCTCTAGGGCAGGATCCCATGCCATGGCACAGACGGGCAACAGGAAGCTCATTGGGATACTTGTACCATGGACCAAGCAGATTCAGCCACATGGGGATGGCTCCGGCAACTGGCAAACCTGAAGTGCTGAGACATGCTCTGTGCTGGCTCATGAGTAAAGAGGTGGGTAGTGGAGTAGGTACAAGAATAGCTGGGGTGAAGTCATCAGCCACCCTGCGCTCGCTCCCGGCTGAGAAATAGAAGCATGTGGCTAGAAGTGGGGGGAGGAGGGGAGGAACAGGGAGAAGAAGCCTGGGCAAGATCCCCTGGGAGGGGACATGGGAGCTGGGACTGGCAAGAGAGGAGCCGTGTGGCCCTGCGAACACCCTACTTAACTTGTGAGAGCCCCCTGGATCCCAGCAGCTGCAGTCACACCTGGCAGAGGCTGATCTCTTGGCCCTTAACCCTGATCTCCTTTTCCCTGGACTAAGCCAAGCAGCAATGCCAGGCACCTGGGATGAATCACGGGGCTGAGGGGTAATGGCTGGGGTCAGAGAAGGGTGGGGGTGGGGACTACTGCAACTGCCCTGGGAGCAGCGCAGGGTGGGGTTGGGACTGTGACCGGCTCTTAGCGGGTCCCAGCCACCCTGATTGCCCTGCAGTGGGTGGGGGGAGGATCCCTGCTCCCCCAGGAGAGAGGCTGCTACCTGGGCTGCCCTTCACCCGACTACGGGAGTCTGTGGGGACCGCCGCTTGGCAGGGGCCCCCTTGCCCGAGCCGGCTGAACTTCAGTGGGCAAAGGCGGAGGGGAAGCCCCGCCCTTCTTTCCCGGGAGCCAATGGGAAGGCGAATATTTGCATCTTATTAGCATAGCCAAAAAAAAAAAAAAGAGGCAGCAGCAGCCGCGGGGGGCCGGTCGTCCTTCTCCTAAATCAAACTTGGGCGAAGCGTGGGGCGCCCGCACGGCTCCCAGCGGCTCTGCAGGGACCCGGGCAGGGGCTGCTGGGCTGGATCCGTCCCCCGCTCCCGGGGCGCCTTTGGGAGGCAGGGAAGGAAGATCCCGAAGTTTGATCTGCAAGTGGCAGCGGCTGGCGGCGGGGCTCGGGCTGCGGGGCGGGAGCGGGCACCTCGGGCCCGGCGCGGCGGGGAGGGGGGGTCTGCCCCCCCGCTTGCCCCAGCCCCAG